TATACCCACCCAACGTGTCCCACCCTAGAGGCTGCTGCATTTCAGGCCGGGAGAAGGTGACGGGCGGGGGGGGGGACGGTCCCGAACGTCACGGAGCCCAGTGAGGATCAGGGCTGCGAGGCTGCACCCACGTCTGGTTGAGAGCGGCCGAGCGGAACAGGAGCCGGGAGAAGAGGCGTGGCAATAAAGCACTAACCCACGATGTTCGCATGGTTTGTGCTGCCCCCTGGTGGCCGCCTCGCACTACGGCACCCCCGGGCAGTGCCCCCTGCTGCCCAACAAGCCTGTGACGCCTCCCAATCAGGAGCCCAAAACCGAAAAGGGAACCCAGGCGTCCGGGCCCAGGGCAGCTCCACTCAGGCCCCACCCACCCCTTTGCCCAGGGACCGCGCCCCACTTCCGGCCCCAAGCGGCTCCGGGCAATTTCCGATGCCACCCCAGCGCTGCCTGGGAAGTGGAGTCCCAGGCCCCGGGCATCCTGGGGGAGGGAGTTTCGGTTTCCCAGAATATGCTGGGTAGTACAGGGATAGCGCATGCTGGGAAATGTAGTCCGAGGAGCCTCGCAGGACGCAGTTATGGGGAGGGTCCAACAAGCAGCCCCCTCCCTGCCAACCTACCCCCAGCCTGACTCCCCTTCTGCAGCTCGGAAAGAACCCAGGCGTCTGGAGGCCCAGCCAGCCCCGCTCCAAGGGGCACCAGACTGCTCTCAGCTAGGCCCCAACACTCCCCTCCCCCAAGTCCCCAACCCATGAGATGGGCACAGACATTTGGAGACAGTGCAGGGACACTTGGCAATGGGACTATTTATTGGCAGCTTTAGGGACACAGGCATCTGCCCCCCTCCCCCCCAATTCTATGACCCTCTGGCCGCTTACAAAGCCCCAGGGAGACATGAGGAGTGTCTAGTGGCCCCTGCCCAAGGGAAGAGAACCCAGGTGTCCTGGCTCTTCCCACCCCCACTTGCACTCCTCTCCCCGGGCAGGTAGAGGACCCAGGCATCCTGACCCCCGCCCTGCTCCAACCACTATTGCCCCAGTCCACAGCTTGGGAGAGAACGCAGGTGTCCTGGTTCCTGATTCGCCCCCTCCTAGGGGTCCTGGCTCCCTGTCCCCCCCAGCACAGCTGAGAGTCCAGCCCTCATGACTCCACCCCTTACCCCCACCCAGGGAGAACCCAGACATCCCAGCTCCCCTTCCTGCTCTAACCGCTGGCTTCCCCGCGCAGGACAGAACCCACATGTCCTGGCTCCCCCCACCACCCCCAGCCTGGAGAATCCCAGCATCCAGCCCCCCACCCCAATACCAGGCTAGGGGCAGGGGTCGTAGTCCTGCACCAGGCCGCGGAAGGCCTTCCAGAGGGGGCGGTGGGGTAGGCAGCCAGGGCCACCGCCACGCTGCTCCTCACCCCGATTGCGGTTGGTGTCAGCCACACAGGCCCAAGCGGCAGTGTCGGCAACCGCCCACTTGGAGTGATCCTGCGTGGTCGCGAAGGCCGGCATGTCCGGGAAGGCCACATGTGCCACGTTCAGCACCTGTGGCCCCGGCCCTGAGCAGTTGGAGGGCAGGTCCCCCGGCCCGTCCCGCCACGACTCCACCAGCAGTGTGTCGCCCAGGGCCGCAGCCAGCCAGCCGGAGTACAGGTCTGGGGGCAAAGGGCAGGGTGCACAGGTAAACCCTAGAGACCCCTGCTCCCCCACAACCCCTGGCAGCTGCCTTCTATGCCCTACCCCACCAAGTCCTCATGAAGACCTGAGCCCAAGAGCCCCTTCAGCTTGCTCTACCCCCCTCTCAGCCCCACTATATTCAAGGCAGTTCCCCTCCTGCACGGCGCCCACTCCCCAACCCAGAGCCTAGAGCCCCTGCCCACTCCCAATCCTCCCCATTCTGCTCACCAACTCATGGAGGGCTC